CCCCCACAAGTTCAAGCGAAGTTACGACTCGTCTGAGAGAACTGTTCAGCAGTTCTGTTGTTCACTGAAGAACTGGCTGATCTGTTATTAAATGCGGATGTGAAGAGACATGATAATCCGATCCAAGAACGAAACACCTGAGATCAAATTAAGGATTACACATTGATTACAATATCCTTATTAAGAAAGTACGGCAATAGTCATCATATTATTATAAAGGACACTTAATATACTTCCCTGTAAGCTGCCTCCGTAGTCTAGGGGTAACGTTCCCACCTCATGACTCAAGGTACGCGGGTTGAAACCCGCCGGAGGTCGTGGAATTTTTAAGGGCGGAAAAATTCAAGGAACAAGTCCTCCGGTAGATGGGGAAAGTTATTGGGTACCGATGTCAGTAGAGGGCCGACCTCGCTGGCAGAAAGGGGAAATAGCGGACACCAGTACCGGTAGGGTATGGCGACAGTAGAAATTAAAAGGGGACGTACAATAGACTATTAGTCGCGGTGCATGGGGAAACCCACCCCTTCAATACTGAATGACTGAACTGAACTGAACTGAATACTTCCCTGTAAATGTATGGGTTTTTAAATACTTGTATAACAGAGAGTGAAGCAGAGAAATTATGTTCAACAATATGTAAGACATTGCATATCTGACGTATAGTCCTGTATAGAATGTATTTTAATTGGAATATTACTGAAAATATTATATCTTAGGCGAAACTTTATTCTACCCAGAAAACTAGAAGTTGTACATGTGCATCAGTTTCTGAGATCGAACTGCTTCTGGATGTCCAGTTTCTAAGTATATTATAAGGACGTTACTGTGGCCCTGAATGGGCCAGGACTCTCTGTCCTTAGAAGAACGAATTTCACATAGTGATGGTGGACATGAATGTAGGTTAGATACGTCTGGAACAGCACAATCATCTGGGTTGTAATTTCGTCCTGTTTGAAGAGAGCCCGCCTTTCAGAAGGAACATAACGCCTCCATCTTCAGGGTGGAAGAATAAGCCAAGGAGGAAACGAACAGAAGAAGGCAGTAAGATGTAGTCTGATTCTGCTGGTTTCTTCTTCAAGTACGTTTCAGCCTTCAAAATGACGGGGTTACACACCAGAAGACCGCGATGAGAACTTAAATTCAACAACGTTATATTAGTTTTTTTTGTTTATTATATAGTCTTGTAATTATATTGTTAGGCTATACATTTGAATTAAGATATTTCAATAACAACCTTGAGGCAGGCCGTGCCATAGCTCAAGCGGTTAGTCGCTGGCTTTCCACCGCGGCGGCCTGGGTTCGATCCCGAAGTGGGATTTGTGGTTGACAAAGTAGTGCTGAGGCAGGTTTTCTCCGAGTACTTCGGTTTCCCCTGCCAATCTTCATTCCACCAATTGCTCCACAATCACCCTCACCTATCATCTGGGGCTGGTACAATAGGCCAGAAGTGGCCGCAGTACAAGGAACTTAGTCCCACCCCACTAACAATAAAAGAAACTTGGATCAGTGTCTCATACCTTTTGAATGAAATCTTTGGTTCCTCTCGTTCCAAGAGCACACGAAATAACAAAATAGCTTCAAATTACATGATTACTGATTAGCTAGGAACTTTCCTCCGTGCTTTTACGAGTAACATTACGCAACGTGTTACAACAGAAACTTGAATGAGACAAGATGTCTGTGTTATTCTTCTTTCATTTCGCCCGTCTGTGTTATGATTTTTACCACGGCATTAACAGAATTAAAGTTTATAGAGAAATTTGGTGTTGAAGATACGTAAAATATAATGCTTCGTTTATATAACCGAGCTTTGTGTTCGATAAATCGATTTAACTTTACTATGACAAACATCGTGTGCAGCAACACCAGAGAGAGTAGACTGGGCTGTTATCACATAAAGGCACGCGGATCGTAGCCACATAACTCAGGTTCTCTGTTGTTCTCGTACATAAAAATATATTTATTAACGTCTAGACACAAGGAGGGTCACAAATCTCTAATGCCCCGTCAGTTCAGGCTGTAATAACCACAAATACTGCCTGTCTCTTGTCAGCAACTCTGTATCGAGCTGATGTGGTTTATTTCATTTCACAATTTTCTATTCTAATGTCGCAGATTGGGTATCTGTTACAACCTATTCTGATCCGAGATAGTTCACTCGATATAATGACTAGGTTATGGATTACATGATCAAGGTTTAGAATTTTGATTCCTGGCAGGGGCAAGAGACTTGTCTCTTCTCCACAACGCGGTAGCGTAGTTGGTTCAGGCAGTATGCTACAAGCCGGAAGGCCGCTGTTTCAAGTCCCGTTGAGGCCATTGGATTTTTTCAGTTTACCTAATCCTTCCAGCCGCAATAGACCCTGGGGTTTACTCAGCCTCTAACAGAAATGAGTACCAGGTTTTAATTAAATAATTTTCCTGGGGAGTAAAGCGCGGGCGGCGCGTAAGGCTGACAACCTTAGCGCCATCTTTGAGCTGATTGAATAGATAATGTGGGAGCCTCAACGTCTCACAACCCTATGGGCCTTCACGGACTGTTACAAGGATAACTTTATTTTTTTTACAGACAGCTATTAACATAATAATTCTGAATAACAAAATATTTGTTTGTTTTAGAATGACTGCAGTCCTGTCAACAACATGGCCCTCAACCAATGGCTCAGTGATGATGCCCCTCCAGCCGGAACAAACTGCCCGCATCCTTGCAACGCATCGTACGAACCAGAGCAATGCTGTTCTATATATTGTTATTGTTCTGTTGCTCTACGCGACAGCCTTAGTCGTCATCATGGTGCGTTACCTGAAACGGGAACGTGACGAATCGCGTCTCTCCTATCTGTACCATGAATTTGTTAGGCTGGATCTGTTTCGTCGTCAGAAGAAGACTCCGACAGATCAAGAAGAGGCAGAGTCTCTCACTACTCCACAGGTCATTGTAACGTTAGCAGCCAATAAGAACGTGGAAACAGGCGAAGCAGAAGCTATTGCCCACGTATAGAATAGCGCCAATGTTCTTACTTTTATAAATGCCAATTCATCACCGTCAGAACGGGAGCACAAACTCCGAAAAAAAAAGAGATTATTTTATATCATCAAGCAGACCCAATAATGGGTATTTTAACCAAGTTTCGTAAAGAAGCGGAAAATTATTATTAACTGAATAGTATATTTCCATCTGTACTTATAAGATAACTGTTTATTCTGTGTGTTAATTGTAATGATCAGGGCCCGGATTTTGATGATATGTCATCTTTTTTTCTTTATGTAGTAAACGTTGCTTTTAAGCACTAAAGCCCCGATTATGAACCTCTGGTTATAAAAATGTGAATTTTTTGTGCATTTTTTGTTATATTTTGTATGTTTTAAGTTTTAGGTCATTTTTACAAATTTTTACATAATTTTTCATCATTTTTTCACGTTTTGCGTCAATTTTGATTATCTTTCACGTTTTTTAATAATTGACATTGATTGATCAAACTGAAGATATTTGATTCGTGAGGTACAAATCTATGTTCTTCAAGTAAATTTTGTTTTGTATCTCTAGCCTCTGTCGCTAAATATAATAGATTTGTTTGTGAGAGGGCACATAATTTTTCTTTTTAAGCCGCCAGAGATGCCGTTGCTGTCCCGCGCCGCTTTCTAAGCAACATCGTTGTCATAAACTCATAAAATTGATGCCTCAGAAATGCAGAGGGGTAGGTTTAAAGAGATGTTCGGGTGTCATAAAATCAAGAAATTTGAAACTAATTTACACAGTCCGCATTTACCTGATTTTAAGAAAATTTAGAAATTAGTTTTTAGGTCATTTTTTTAAATATTTTTTGGTCATTTTATAGATCATTTTTCAGATATTTTAGGTCATAAAAATCCGGGCCCTGTTAATGATAATCTGCATTTTAATACCTTCTATCTTTTATCCCGCAATTAACCCAGAAATCTCTGTGACTAACAAGCTAAGACTTAAAGACAAATATCTCTTGAGTGTGATACTGTTTTGCAAATCTATAGAATTTCAAGATTATTTGAACGACATGTTTTCTCGAAACGTTCATTTCACTAGCAGTTTAATTATATGCACGTGATTGTGTTGCAATGCAGACTTCGTTTAACCAGACTGTTTCACATTTCTAAATGCATACACGAGAACTACTCAAAAAATTTTCGAAATGTTTTCAATGATCTGAAGTTCAATTGATTATAAATACATATGTTTTTTTTGACTCTATGTTAGTTGTAAACATGTAATTGATATAAAATGGCAGGATAGGTATGAACTGTTGAATATTGTGGCATTTAGACCGGTTGCTAGGCAATGACCGAGAAACACAAACACCTAGAAAACGACCGTTACTATGCAACGGCCCGTAAAGTGCAACATAGGGACAGTGTTTTCTGTGTGGTCAGTGCCGAAACGTTACAAAGAGGACAGTTAGTGAGAGTCAGTTGAATTCATTTGAGTTAGTAGGTTGGTGAGTGACTGCGTTAGTAAGATTTTAAGTAACAGCTATTGTGAGCTGTTATTGCAAGAAGCTTGTAGCTGATACGCGGGGACAGTTAGGGAACCCAGAAGAAGAGGAACGTTGCTTTCCAGCCGCTAGTGAAGAGATGTCTGTACACACTAGTGTGTGGGTGTAATAGTTAATTGTAAAGTGTAGTCACGCGCTGTATGAAAGAGTCCACTTAATCCTATCATCAATTTAAAACCAGTCTATACTCACATTCTTAAACGTGACAATGTTAAACAAATATATGGAAGGAATAAGACAATATCCTTAGAAAATTAAATGAATTTTAGTAGGTCAGTTATTTAGGTTACATATAAAGTGGTTTATTACAAAATTTCAGTCCATATTCATAAAACTAGTTCTCCAAAATTGCACACAAGTCTCCCCATAAATGCGTATATTTTATTGCTAGTGGGGTGGGACTAAGTCCCTTGTACTGCGGCCAAATCTGGCCTATTGCACCAACCCCAGATGATAGGTGACCTAAATTACTTATACTCTTCGCCAAGTATATTTAATGCATGTAGCATGCATGGTGGAAATGAGGAATGCATATAGAATTTCGGCCGGCAAACCATTCGGAAAGAGACCTCTAGGAAGACCTAGTCGTAGATGTGAAGATATAATTAAAATAGATTTTAGAGACAAAGATAGAGTGGTGTGGAATGAACATTCTCTGGCTCAGGTAGCAAGCAGGGTTTTTGTGAACATGGTAATTTGTACTGGACCGGTGATTCCATATTAGCTCTACCTAAAGGGTAAAATTTGTTCCTCAATAAATTTCCACCTGAAGAAGGAATGAGAAACATTTACCGAAACATCGTGTTCTTTCAAATTCTGTACAATTAACAAAGCCTGGAAACAGATCCAAAGTAATTTGTGTGAATATTGCTATCATCAGGGAAGCAGCAATTCACACTCTGGTGGGAGTTATCCAAAATTTCACTGGAAACGTAGAACTCTGTTGTCTGCTGATTCATGGTCGTTATTTGTTTGGTTTCCTTCTGGAAAAAGTATACATGTCTATTTGGGAGCTCCGAAAATTGATAATCAACCCTATATTACACTCTCATGTAGCGAAAGCTTCCAAAAATTAGTGTTTTTTGTCACTTTGGATTCTGAGAAACTGCCTCCAATTTATGTCCACTTCTGTGTTTTGCTGTTCGTACAGTAAAGAAGACCTGAAAAAGTCAAGTCGGCAAGTAAAAAATTCTTTAATATCATTTGTGTGTTTCTTGTTTCCAACTAGTAACACTTTTTCTCATAGAGATGTGGTTTTTTGCTTATGAATTATAATACCAGTTAAATTTCCTTCGTCGACAAATGTTGTAAAACTGTAAAAACCCTGACTAATGGTCTACAGCAGTTCAAATTAAGTGCGTGCAGTTCTCCCTCTCTCTGCTATAGCAAACAACACAGTGCCCTTCTACAAATCACACTCTGTTCCCGTAGTCTAATTCCAAAGTTATTGCTCTATAAATTTCTACATATATCACTGAGTCAGGATAAATGTGTCTTCAGACAACACGTCACAGCCCAATATGTAGGCTTTGGTGCTTCTTCAGACTACTCTGCTGACTGAACGACTTGTTACATATGTCACAACAAAATGGCCGCTCCCCACTATGTATGCGTTGATGTATCTTCAGAACACTCTTTTGAGTGAACGATTTACTACACACGTCACAACAAAATGGCCGCATTCACTATGTTTGCGTTGGTGTCTCTTTAGATGAACCAGCTGTCTGAATGACTTATCACACATGTCACAACAAAATGGCCGCTCCCCAGTATGTATGAGTTGGTGTGTCTTCAGATGACCGCGTTCGGCAAATGACTTCTTACACACGTCACAGCCAAATGGCCGTTCCCCACCATGTATGCTCCGGTGTCTCTTCAGATCACGGCAACGAATAAATGACTTATTACACACGTTACAACAAAATGGCCGTTCCCCACTATGTATGCTTTGGTGTGTTTTCAGAGAATTCCGCTGAGTGAACGACTTATTACACACACCACAGCAAAATGGACGCTCCCCACTATGTATACGTTGATGTATCTTTAGATTGCCGTGTCGTATGAATGACTCATTGCACACGTCACAACAAAATGGCCGCTCCCCACTATGTATGCGTTGATGTGTCTTTAGATTGCTGTGTCGTATGAATGACTTATTGCACACGTCACAACAAAATGGCCGCTCCCCACTATGTATGCGTTGATGTGCCTTTAGATTACTGCGATGTCTGAATGAATTATTGCACACGTCACAACAAAATGGCCGCTCCACACTATGTATGCGTTGGTGTGTCTTCAGAAGACCGCGTTCGGCAAATGACTTATTACACACGTCACAGCAAAATGGTCGCTCCCCACTATGTATGGTCCGGTGTCTCTTCAGATCACAGTAACGAATGAATGACTTATTACACACGTTACAACAAAATGGCCGTTCCCCACTATGTATGCTTTGGTGTGTTTTCAGACCATTCTGCTGACTGAACGACTTATTGCACACATCACAGCAAAATGGACGCTCCCCATTATGTATGCGTTGATGTTTCTTTAGATTACCGCGTTGTCTGAATGACTTATTGCACACGTCACAACAAAATGGCCGCTCTCCACTATGTATGCGTTGATGTGCATTTAGATTACCGCGTTGTTTGAATGAATTATTGCACACGTCACAACAAAATGGCCGCTCCCCACTATGTATGCGTTGGTGTGTCGTCAGATCGCAGGGATGTCTAAATGACTTATTACAGACTTGACAGGAATATGGCCGCTCCTTACCAAGCACAGGTTGAAGATGATGTAGACTAGTCTGTAAAACGAGAAGAACTGGCTTGAATAACACTCCTATAAGGAGGAATAATTTTGAAATACAAGCACATTTAGGAGTTAAAGGGCAGGAGACAGAAGGGCCGCAGGCAATATGGTGAGTGAACGTGGGCCAACGTGCGCATGCGCGTGCATCAGTTTACATGGCTGTTTGAGTAGAAGTCGAGCTACAATTCGATTACGAAACAAATTTAAAAATTAAATAATATTATGTATTTGTGCGGCTGTACAAGGTCTCATTAATGGAGCGTAGGATCATAATATGAAACAAAGTAAATGCTAAGTTAAGTTATGACTTCAAGAAAATTATGTAACAGAGTGAGTTACATAGAACGGCTACCCCGATACTGTAAAAAATAATCCTTGTCACTTTCCTCCTAGGATGCCAAGCAAAATTCCCTGGCCATGAAAATTTAGGCATTTATCCTGAAATGGCCACTCCTTTCAGATGAGTGAAATGGTATTAGGCACACCAAACTCTCCAAAAATAGGCGTGGGGGCACCTTACAACAGCCAGGCAATTGTGCCTAATATTAAGCTATAAGCATGGCTTCCTGCTTCCTGCTGGAACCGAATGTTTGCCACATCAGAACACATGGCTACACAGACTGCAATTTGTTCTTCTCTCTTTGGGCCCACATGTTTTGATGTCACAGGGTTAGAATTTGAAGGGGTAAAGTACAAGGTTTACGTGCAGAGCTTGGTCAGACGACAAACCCCCAAAGAAACATCTTCAATGTTTCTGAATTGACAGGCTCATTACCGAGCAAGTCTACTGAGATAGATACCCAGTAAATTTACCTTAATTTGTAGGTTGTAAAGCAAATGGCCTTGTGTGTGTGTTAACCAAGTGAATGTAAAGCAATATGTCGTCATTCAGGTTGGAAGTTTCAGGCATTGAGCGAGAAAGCTATTGTTGCAGGCAGGGTGGGAACGTTGTGCTGTCAACTTCAGCAAATGATTACAGAACAAGATATGCACCTTCAGGAAGTCTGGAATCTCTCGGGATTCACAATGCGTACAATCTCAGGACTGATGGTGCAGTATACACAAGTGTTAATATAGGTCACAGTGAGTAGACAGGATTTATGATAGTTTGGGCTTCATTGTGGGGCCATATGTGAAGCTACCACAGCCTGTTCTTGAGCGGAAGTTTTGAAACCTAAGCCATTTTTGTGCTGTTACCGAGCTAGACTGGGCACAGATAACATGGATATGTCTGGAAGAAATGAAAACATGGGGAGCATGGCTGATCTATATGATGTGGACAGGTACTGGGGGATGCAGGTGGGTGGTGATGTATGCTGTTCCCCATCAGCCCATACTCTGTATGTACCATGCATTCTCGAAAACTTTCTTAACAATTAAAGGCGTTCACTGCAGCATAAGTTCGTAAACCGAGGGATACCTGTATTAGTGAATTCGGCCTAATCTGGACACAGAGACACAGCTCACCTCAGCTGGAGACTTCATTTCTCCTGGAAGTGTTATTGCGAGAGGATCCTCCTCTGCTTCTGTATGTGACGTTACCTCGTCTTTCACGCTGATGGTTTGATATGCATCTTGAGAAGCTGCTGGGCATATCTCGTCACACAGGCTACTTACATATACTCTCTCGAAATCTGCAGTGTTCTGTAAATCAAGAAATACCGCATTTGTCATGACTGTATATTCGCTTCAAAAATTCTGCCTCAAAACAATCGCCAGTCTTACACAGACTTAGATAACACAGAAAGGGACACATCCAATAATTTTTCTGTTGATGTGTGTCTTCGTTGCCAAGGGATTTGTTTACTGAAATGATGCATAGCAACCGGACCATTACCCAGGAACAGAACCATTCCCTAGCTTATGGATAAGCAGGTGAACTGTGTTCCGCAGGACTCTGAAGCAAATGCAGAACTATCGTCATGGGTCCCGACTGGGACCGAAGCCAAGAACTGCGATGAGGGTGAGTGACATCAGCAGTTTATCCCACATGTCCCGCCCGGCCATGTTTACCAATCAGTCGAGTTGCTGAGATACTTGCGAGCTGGAGGACTTCTTACCGAGACGTTGCCTAGCAACAGCCGTCTCTTCTAATACCGCTACTACGGCTTTCATGCGTCAAGCTACATCGTATTCAGAAGTTACTGAAAGTGAAATTTTCTATGAGGTCGGCGTCATATCAAATATTTAACAAGTAGTGAAAGAAAAAAGTAGGCAAATAGTTCTTCCCACAACTTCTTACATTTTTCAAAATCGGAGAATTAGTCTAAAAATATGATACTGTTTTTTTTCCATGATATCGAACTGATAATAATTGTTTTGTACTTTCATCTTCCCTGCAGCTTCAAAATGTCTATCAACTACTAAGTGCAGGGAACCTGTCAAGGTTCTGCAGTCTAAGAGAAGCAAATCCAGTCCACAAACTTCCCCCTTAATTCACTAAAATATGTTTAACTTCTTGCTTACAAGTACATTTATTTCAGATATATAAATTCAACTCGAGTAAATATCACAATGGTTTCATGGATACTGTTTCACCATAACAATGCATTCACTCGTTTTCCTTACTATTACAATATGTTTCGACCTTAAGCAACTATGCAACTATCCTCATGTTTATTTTATGTTGTAGGATTTTTTCCTGTCTTCATCTTGCTATTAAGGGTAGCAACATTAACAGTTAATCAAACGTCAGAAGTTACACAATTCTCAAAGTTAAAAAAAACGAAAGTATATTTATTATAAAAAGCTGGCAATCAATCCAAGCTTTCTTCCTTACGTTATGATGCATTGTGTTGTTGTGTTGTCACAGCCCCATGTTAATTGGGCTTGGTGTTTGTGCTTTTTGAGTGAAGACCCTCTGACTGCTAAGTTCTTCCATGGAACTAACTGCTTGAACTGTCCAGCCTGCTGAGGTGTAAATATACACATTATCTACCAAGTGATTAAGATTTAGCAAATCCCCTCAACTCTGGCAATTATAACATCGCTAATCGAAACAATATATTCGGCTTATGGCATGAAAATGATTAATAATATCATAACCTTTATGCAGAGTTCTTCAAAATTATCTCATTGCTTCATGTTTTGTTTCTGGATTTTCTCTGCGCTTCTCACACTCAAACCCATGCTACATGAGTTGCCCACATAATGTATCTTGAATATATCAATCTAGTACACAGAACGCTAAAGTGTTATATTACCTACAACTATCTGTAAAAAGGTGTTATGAAATTTATGATTCTGCCAAAATATTTGGTTTCTCTGTACTTGTAAATCGTGAGATGAAACCAAAAATTTTTTTTTCCTGTCCAAAGAAACACAAAACACTCACCATGGTTTTACTCAGAGCAGAAAATACTTCTGCCCTTCTGTGCAGTACAATTCTTGATACTCTTGTTGCAAGAGAATGTAGAATTCTTTGTAACTTTACAACTCGCTTCTCACACGAGATATTTTTGTGGGCTGCAGCAGTCCTACTGTTTCAGCTTGAGAGATGTGATAATTGTATTAGCATCGACCTCTGACTGATTGCGCAGGTCCTGAAAAGAAACAAACAGTTATCAGTAGTGTATAAACATATTGTCACTTATTAGTAACGAGACGTGGGGTTGGACTGATTATTGGAATTACTGAACGATTATAATTCGTGATTACAAATGTTTATAACAGTGTCAGTAATTTACACATCCTATAAGTCATTACTACTCGAGCATATAGAAAGTCTTCTGTTTTGTAATTTTCTGTCATTAGTAGTTGCCAGCTAGCAGCTGCTAACAATGGAGATTCCTCATGGACAATCACGAACTGCCACTCTTCGCTTGCCACTCAAGACTAATTCAAAGTACAAGTCACATTGCTACCGACGGTCAGTCAGTCAGTCTTGATATCGAGGCCTATCTTGGGTTCATGATCAGATATTTATTACTGTTCGACAGTTATAGTGGGGCGCCCTCTCTGAGGGGAGGATGGATCTGTCTTTTGTTAGAGTCATTGTCTGCACGGCTGATTCAAAGTCAAAGTCATATTGCGACTGACGATCATTCAGTTGTTCAGTCTTGGTGTCGAGCCCCATCTGGGACGCATGCCCAGATATTTATTACTCTCTGACAGTTATGGTCTTGATTTGTGGAGCATCCTCTTGGACGAGAGGACGCGTCTGTTCTCTCTCAGATTCATTGTCTGCAGTAGTAAGCCTTTTGTCATAATGTAAAAGATGTTTACATTTTACACGTTAAAACTCTTAAAAATATATATAAAATATGATCGAGTTTTGCCTATGTTAAGCGACGAATAACCTCCACGTAGGTTTCGGATTCAGCGAATATTTATTGAACACACGCACTTACACGCTTACAAGTACAATTATTACCCACAGCTTCACTGTTATAATTACTTCTTGCACCGCTTATCTCGGCGAAGTATTGTATTCCCTTTCTCGGATGCGCGCTGGCGTCTGCTCTCGTCGAAGCTAGGCTTTCTATAACTTCGGCTGTTGCTAGTTAATGAACCTTCTGTTATCTTTCAACGCTTCTAACAATTCGGAATAACCGTGGAAACTCGCGGTTAGAATTACAATATCCCATTGCTTACGTTGTCTAGAAACGGATGGATCGTTGCCTAGAAAATGACTGTTCGGATATGCGTTCCTCAGTCCAGGATCAGTACAGAAAATTTTGCCCTATTTCTAGTGGCTTCCGCTACAACGGCAGTCTAATCACTTGAAAGGTCGTATGCTTCACCGCCTCCAAGTTTAAGCCTCCTATACTTCTTATGTCGGGCTTCGCCTTGTCCAATATTGGGAATATTTTTCTTATCGGACGTAAATTCTGAGGGGATTTTGGCTCTTTACCGGGTTACGGTAATGTTATAATTTTCTTTCCTTCCAAGGATTTGGAAAATGGGACAGCCGAAAGTAATGATCGAATGATTGAAATGGGTCAAATATAGCAAAGGTCGCCTTGGAAGGTGCCTAAGGCATTCACTTGGAATGCCATCAATTCCGCAGGCCTTTCTCAATTTCAAAGAATATATTAATTTCTGTAAGTGACATGGTCTTATCCCCTGAGGGGGGCTGTTGTCTACGTCTTCGAGTACAGCTTGAGCTCTACTCTCCACCCATCTTTCACGATTGGATTTCTAATCAGCAATTGCGTTGGCTTTCTCTGTTGGATGAAATTTTAAGGCCTGGGGAACCACGCACAGCAGTTTGTGTTCTTCGTGTATCCCTCTTTAGGAGGGATTTCGCAATGGGCCTTATACTCTGAAGTGTGACTTCACTGCTACCTTTCTTTCTGTCCCACCGTTCAAGTGCCTTTTTGCAGGTCATTCGCCTAATTGAGTTCGTGACACAATTAACTGCTGTCTTAAACACTGGATACCTGGTTTCTTACCACAAGTTTCGTAGCCTCTGCAAATGTTTTAACAAACTATCTAGACAAGGAAGATCGTTGTTTATTTCCGAAAGTGTAACTTTAATTTTCGACAATCTATGTGCCAAAGCAATACAGGCTGTAAAGCCGCGTGTCGCTTTATCGGCACCAAAAAGTCAAAGTCACATTGCGACTGACTGTCAGTCAGTCAGTCAGTCAGTCAGTCAGTCAGTCAGTCAGTAAGTCTTGGTGTCGAGCCCCATTTGGGTCTCATGACCAGATATTAATTATTACCCTTTGATAGTTACGGTCTTGTTTCTGTGGGGCGCCTTCTCTGACGAGAGGACGGGTCTGTCTTTTGCATATGCTGCTGGCCCTTGCCAGCGCAGTCTTATTCAGGTCCGAGTCCCTTGGGACTCGCGACCATATTTTACTGTCTCAGAATTGAGACTTCCCTTTTCGTCGCCTCCTAAGACTCGCCAAAGCAGTAGGCTGTAAAGCCGCGTGTCACTTTGTTATACACTGTTCTTTAATTGTTGTGTGTTTTTTGTTGCCTAGCAATGGCTCGCTTGTTTGGTGACGTAGAAGCATGTCAACTGTGCGACTGTGAAGTCCCTTGTTAAATTATCCCGTCATGTCACAGTTTCCTAAATTAATGAAATTGCTGTATATTTGTGCACAACTAGTGGAACAATTATTAGTGTATTTGAGCAACCTGTTGCATCGGTTGCTCACTTGCAGTTTTACAGAAATATGGGCCTAATCACCACTTTGTCCTTGGTTTCATATAAAGCGCTGACATAATTGTGATCTCTATGAAAACAAGTTCATAACACGAAAATATTTCTCGTCTTTATGATCGACATTTTGGCATATCATACTCAGTACATAAGATTTGGTCTTTCGGCAGGAAGTCCCTGAGTCGAGTGACAAAATGAAAGAGTTCCATATCAAATTAATTTCTTCTTGTTGCTTACAGGTTTCTTTAAGCATGAACGTTTGAGACATCTAAACGTGTGACGTGTTGATATCGTGAAGGACACACATGTACTTTAGAGATCATTTTCAATCAATCTGATATGAAAGGAATTCAAAACATTTTATTTACCGTATTTACGCATGTATAGGCCGCACATTTTTTGCCAAAAATTCAAGAGGAAAACTGGGGTGCGGCTTATATTCGAAATATTCGAAATCACACTTCATTTAAAAAAAAATATATATTCATAATTAGTAATACAGGGTGTTCTACTCCTGAAATAATATTCCAAGAAAATTATTTTTTCTATAATTTCTGTCTGAAAATTGTGCTGCGGCCTATACACGCACGCGGCCTATACATGCGTAAATATGGTATATACGATTATGTGTTGCCATCAAAAATATTAGGTAGCAAAAACATTTTTATTTTCCAAGTCCTGGTTGTTGGGACTGTTATAAAGCAATATTTATTTGAAGTTCTTATAAGCTGCATGCCGGCAGCGTGCCATATGCTACGTCAAGTTTCCATTTCCGAGTAATGTAGTTCATGCCCATAGGCTGAAGTACACAGCATGTTTTATATAATGAGAAAGGATTTATATTTACCATCATGACTATTTCATATCTCTACGTCATTCCAATCTCGTAAAACAATTGGTGACAAATTTTGAAAAGAATGTACTACTGAAACAGCTGTTAATTTCATCTAAGGAAGCAATTTATTTATTAGCGACTACATGTCTGATTCTTCTGCTGGTATCCCACTTTAGCACGGACTGAACTCGCAAGGGATTGAAAGTGGTGTGAAATTATACGTGAAAGCCAAACTTGCAGTCATAAAAACGTCGAAATCCAGGAAAACGGGCTGTAAACAACCGAATAATATGCGCACACAACTAAACGAACAGCCGGAGGTAGTTTTCTGTTGGGTCCGAACCGAAAAATATATGATGGGCGTAAGAAAATCTTCTTAGTAAGTAATGCCCGTGTGGAGGCGAGGTCGAATACCTCCACCGTGACCCTGCGAGACGTTGGAAGCGACGAAAAGGGAAGTCTCAGATCTGGGACAGTAAAATATGGTCACGAGTCCCAAGGGACTCCAGACCCGAGAAAGACTGCGCTGGCAAGGGCCAGAAGCAGAGAGGGCGCCACACAAAAACAAGACCGTAACTGTCAAACAGTAATAAATATCTGGTTATGAGTCCCAGATGGGGCTCGACACCAAGATTTACCGACTGACTGACCCTCAGTCGTAAGTGATTTTGACTTTTGACTTGTTAATAATCAATCACACGATTTCGTTATACAAGATTTGTAACTGATGTTATAAATTATTCGCTATCTGGATTCCGAAGAGTACATATGTAAAGGCAGAGCCTGGTGAAGTTTCATTGTTTGAACTCGTTACCAGGTAACGTCTAAATAATATGTAGCAACCAAAACAATTGGGTAACTTTTGTGTTACTATGATATAGGTTTTATATTGAAACTGTAGATACGAGCTTTCGCAAGTTTTGCAGTATCCGTGAAACAAATTATAACAAGTTAGGTACTATTTCTGTTTACAGTTTCATTAATCAATACACTTACATCCACCTACTTCCATAAATAAAATATTATTATCAACAACTGTTGATCTGAATGTTCATCCCTCAGACCGACACACGCATAGCACATAAAGCAATGGGTTGCAGGTTCTGTTCCCTTCATCTTGTGGCAAGTCTTGCCCTCGGGACTGCAGGACATATTTACTTGACTTAGCCTACTTTCCTTAGTTTGACAAACATAAAAGAATTGTTATGAGATCACCTTTCTGTGTGTCTGCCTGTGCATTCCGTCCTATCGTACTTGTACCTACTTACTCATGGAGCTGAGCCCGTCTGGAGGAACCACCAATTCTGCAGCTACTCAAGAATTTCCCAGAATTTTATGGAACCTGAAGGTTCATTACCGTGTTCACAAGATCCCTCCACTGGTCCCTATCCTGAGGCAGATCAATCCAATCAATACCATCCCACCCTATTTCTCTAAGATCCATTTTAACATTATCCATCCACCTATGCCTTCCTCTTCCCAGTGGTCTCTTTCCTTATACCTTTCCAACCAATATCCCTTATGCATTCCTCTTCTTCCTCACTCGTGCTAAATACCCTGCCTACCTTATCCTACTTGAACTGATTATTCTAATTATACTTGGAAAAGAGTACATGTCATGAAGCTCCTCATTATGCAGTTTTCTCCAATCTCCTGTCACTTCATCTCTCTTTGGTCCAAATATTCTCCTCAACACCCTGTTCTCAAACACCCTCAGTCTATGTTCCTCTATTAATGTCAGAGACCAAGTTTCCCACCCATACAGAACCACAGGAAAAATTATAATTTTCTATATTCTAATTTTTATGTTTTTGGACAGTAGACGAGAAGACGAAAGGTTGTGGACTGAATGGTAGTTAACATTACCCGAGTTCAACCTCCTCTTAATTTCCTCCCGAATAAGTTTTTGATTTGTTATCATCGTTCCCAAACATTTGAACTGTGCCACATTTTCAAAAGTGTTACCTATCTTTATGTCACGATTTTTCCCTGCATTTTGGTGACAAGACAGCAACATACCCTTAGTTTTCTCTGTTTTTATTTCTAGACCAACCCTCTCATGTGCATAAATGAAAGTTTTTGTGTTTTTCTTTATGGTATTTATATTATCACCCAGTAGATTCACATCATCGGCATACACCAATAGCTGATGTGTCCCATTTAACTAAGTCCCACCTGGAATATTGCTTACTAGGATGATAAAATCATCAATGGGAAATGTAGCATGCATGGGACAGATATGAAATTTATACACAGTTTCCATTAGGAAACCTGGGGGTGAACAGACCACTTGGAAGATGTAACTGTAGATAAGAATATAATATTAACATATTCATAGATCTTAAAGAGATAGGATGGAAGGGTGTGGGCTGCATTTGTCTGGCTGAGGACAAGGACCAGTGGTAGGTCCTTGTGAGCGTGGTAATGTACCTTTATGTTCTGTAAAATGCTGAGGATTTCTTGAGTAGCCAAGCCAATTTTAGCTCCTCAAGAAAGACTCAGCTCTGTGGAGTTAGGTAGCTAGTCAAACAAACATGTATTGCATGTTAAGTAAGGTCCTTGTCACAGCACAATAGATGTTCAGGTTATAGACAGAAACAGTCTCCAGATGCAGGAGGTACTTGCAAATGCATACAAATTAATTATCATGCTGGGGAGGAGACCATAAACTCCTCGCAGGGACAAATTTTTTTGTATAATCAAAGCAATTGACTCTCAACTTCTTGTTCAATTTGCATTCCAGTGATTTTCTTTTTTCATTTTTAAAATTATCCCACCAGTATGCTTCAAGCTTCTCTCTTTCCAAGACCATTATACTCATTATTATGAGCATAAAAAGACTGCAAAAATTTTGGAATGTTTTATTGTACTTATATACATCTTAGGACCAACAATGAAGCATTAATGAAAAATGTGTGATTACAATTCAGGAAAGATTTGTATAACTGAATTTGGGCTTACTGTATTCATTATTATTGCCATCCCATGACTTCTTCATTCATGCATCAAGTGAAACACATCCCACTAAGAAAGATTGATGTAAGCGACAGGAAAATTGCAATTGGCCCACTTGTCTTTCAAAGTAATTTCAATTTTATATGTTGGCACCACTGCTCGGAAATCTCGTGGAGTTCGTGATCGTTCGTGATATTCGTGATGTTCCTAATGATTGCGCCATGCCCGCCATGACAGCCATGACAGTGTCACATGGAGGCAGTTTTGCTGAAAGAATTTGAATGTTAACGTTTTGAAGTGCTAAGCAGGTAAGTGTTGTTGAAAATCAGTATTAAAAGAAGTAAGACGTATGATATAAATCTGTAACAGTAATAACAACTTTACTCGTCAAATGAAAGTGAGTTACTTAAACCATGTAAATATATAGTTTTGTGTGTGCTGGGATTATGCATAGAAATATTAAATTTATTACTCACGGGTTATAGTGATTAGGCTGCGGACTGGAAAATCGCGAATTCCGAGTTCTGTACCCTGCAAGGGCAAGAGATTTTTCTTTTTCACTGTTCAAACCGGTTCTGCACACCACAGAGCCTCTTGTTAAGTGTGTATAGGAACCCCTTCACCGGAAGTAAAGTTGCCGGTTCGTGAGTTAAGCCCCTCACCCCAACCTAGTGCTAAGGTTAAGAATGCGTGAAGCAGCACCTCTGCGTCTTTATGACATTGTATGTAAATAAACACAAGAACTTTTTGTATACCCCCTGTTGATGGTCTTGTAAGACTAAAATGTGTCAATGTCTGTCTAACACAGTCTGCTGACGAAATAAACGAGATATACTTGGATGGTAACTTGGATTTGATTTTACAGGAACTCGCGTTTTGCTACCGTGTAATTAACTTAGCATAACACAGAAAATGTGACAAGCTTTGCAACAAAAAGTTCTGCCACTTGTTAATATTTATTTTTGAAGTTTAAGAGGCAGTGTAAGTCAAAATAATGGCTAAGAATTCCGTACCTTTGTATTTCAATGTAAGATTTGTATAGTTTAGGATTTGAGTGTTGTATGAGAAACTTTCTGTTTGTACATTATGAACCATCTGAACATGCTGGAATATAATAGCCATTTTCTGCATAAAGTATCCCAGGCTGTTATTTTGAGAAGGTATTTTTTATGAACTGTGAAATATTTTATGATGGTGAAATATTTCAGAAGGAATGCAAATTGTTAATCTTACAGTGTAATCAAAAGGTGTATATTATACAAGAATTAAATTGTATATTTGTAACAAGCTCCCAGTAAGAACTAGAAGTCTGTCCAGACACCAGACATTTCATTTAGCAGTACCTTTTTTGCATACCTTTCATCAGACACCAAATACTCTGTGGGAACTGCCCACATTCAAGCAAGTGTGACAACGCAAGCCTCATTGCAAAAGCCAAGTTCGACGCCATGTTGCGGGATGGTACAGCTCGTCGATCAGAGAGGTCATGGTCCTCAGCACTACACATTGTGCCCAAGAAAGACAGCGGTTGGCGTCCCAGCGGCGACTACAGAGCGCTTAACTCCCACATCTCTGTTAATGAATTTGTAATGTGTAGTAAGTTGTTGATTATATGCTGAAGTAAGGAATTTCTTGTTCTTATAAAAATTAAGATTATTATCTCTCTTGTACATTTTCTACTGATGACTTTCTTATTATGTTCAATTGTGTACTGATTTGTTCCATATCGTGATAATCCAGGAATCCATGGAAGGCCTGTTATCTGTCTACTCACATCTTGATGTGGCATCACCCAGACAGTGGCCGTTGCATCCTTTTTAATGTGGCTATCCAGACATCAGTGGTCCCTACCACTACTGAGAATGACAGCCATCAATCTAGGCTGAAGTGAAATGCAAATGGCTCCTCTGGGGTTTTTAATCTCCATTACTGTACCTCATTACCCATACTGCTGCTATTAATTTTGTACAGTATGCCACATACTGTGTGTCTTAGGGACTGCATTATTTCATTTGCTTTCTGATTTTTCATCCTTCACTCATATAAAACCTGTGGAAGGCAAGAGACCAAGTAAACTTACACTATTACTGTGCAGCCTCCGTAGTCTAGAGGTAACGTTCCCACCTCATGACTTGTGGTACGCGGGTTCAAAAACACGGCAGAGGTCGTCGAATTTTTAAAGGTGGAAAAATTCAGGGAACAAGTCCTCCGGGAGGGACTTGCAAGCTGTGTGTCCCGTGTCGTAGCTTTACGGCACGTAAAAGAACCTCGTATCTCCAAAGGAGGTCACTGAGCCAAATTCAAGGACGTTTCCCGCCCAACAGTAGTCTCTAATGCTTCTGATAGATGGGGGAAGCATTATAGACACCACCAAGCCAGTGGAGGCCGAACTCGCTGGCTCGGCGGGACTGATAGTACGCACCAGTATAGGTAGGGTATAGAGACTGGTAGAATATCATAGGGGGAAGCACAATGGACCAATACTGGTCTAAGTGCATGGGGAAACCCACCCTCTCCAACAACTAACTAACTAACTACACTATTACTGTGGTGGAAACAGTAGTTATGTATAATTTTCTCATTACATCTGTGTGGGAACTGTTATCACTACTCAACATTGTACATGAAGCAGCCAAAATATTGGTATTATTAATTGATGATCTAACACAATGCGATTTTTTTCTGTGGGTCTACCTCAAGGCAAAGGTATACACACCGTCCCCGAACTATTGATGAACTGAAGGCTGCCATCACCGAAGAAATCAACGCTGTTCCACGGAATATGACTCGTAGAGTCATGAAAAACTTCCAAAACAGGCTCCATCAGTGTATGGAAGACAGAGGTGGCCATTTGGAAGATATTATTTTTAAATCCCATTAAACTAAAACTGCATTCTATGTACTTTCAAATAATAAAATAATTTTGCCTGCATCTTTCTTTATTTCTATTCCATGCATTTTTGAAATCGGAAAGGTCTATGTGTCCCACTCTGTAGTATAGACTCAGCCATTTTTATAATTAAGGATATCCTTATTGCATTGAATGGTACCTTAAATGAAATGCTGCTTGCTCTTGCAGCTAAGTTAAATGATAGCTTATCATTCAAGGTACTTAGATTCCCTACTCATCACACCAGCCCCTTTCTCATCCCAGCAAACAAAAGAGAAAATGGTTACATGGTGGCAGCAACAGGATAAAAAGTGATTGAGACTTCTCTGGAAAGGCCGGAGGGACTTCATTTTGAGGATTCTGAGGTGCAAAAGTACCTGGAAGGGAGTAGTTGCTAAGTCCATGGAAGGAAGCTATCAGCAGCCTGTGTTACATCCCAAGGGACAGCACAGGTGATCAGCCAGTAGCAGCAGCCAATGAAACCTCCAGGGCACCTCTACTCTGAACTTCGGTGTTGCAACAATCCTTCGCTTTCTGCTTCAGGTTAGTCCAAAACCATTATGGCAGATGAGGAAAATGAATTTATTTCTCTGGTTCAGGCAGTCAAATTAATTTCTAAACATTTTAATGGAAACCCTAAAGATCTGCAAGAATTCTCTGCAGGAGCTGAGGCAACTAGACAAGTGGTAAACCCCACAAAATACCCTTTGCTTTTAAAGTTCATAGAATCTAAAATAATTGGAGAAGCCAAAGGTAGGTTTCTAGCCAGAGCAGAACAAGGTAAGGCCATCTTAGAAGAAAATTATTCAGTTAGAAGGACTCTTGAATACTATATGGGGGTACTTTTACAAACAATAGATAAATGAAACAGTTGAACAGTGGGGTTTGAGAATAGCTAATATGGGCATTGATTTAATGAGGGAAGCTATGGCTAGAATTGAGAAAGTTAATCCAAATGCATTGGAAGTGGTTACTATACTCATTTTCGAATTCTTGAAGGGTTTGTTTCTGTCATAATTGCGTGATGACAGGATTAAAGTATGTAGTAAAAACAAACTCTTCTCCAAGTATAATTAGGATGATCAAGTCAAGGAGGATGAGGTGGGCAGGGCATGTAGCACAAATGGTGGAGACAAGAAATGCGTATAGGATATTGGTGGGAAAGCCAGAAGGAAAGAGACCACAGGGAAGACCAAGGCGTAGGTGGGTGGACAATATTAGAATGAATGTTGGAGAGATAGGATGGGATGGTATGGATTGGATAGATCTGGCTCAGGATAGGGGCCAGTATAGGGCTCTTGTGAACACAGTAATGAACCTTCGGGTTCCATAAAATGCTGGGAAATTCTTGAGTTGCTGCAGAATTGGTGGCTCCTCCAGAAAGGCTCAGCTCCATGAGTAAGTAAGTAAAAACAAGAGGGTATGAAGAGTCGTTAGCACAGTTAATTGAAATGGCACAACTAGAAGAAAGTGATGTCAAATTGCAAACATTTAAAGGTGGTCCGGGGACAGTGACAAGGCCAAACCACCCAGGAAATATAAAAAGGGAATACAGATTGCTTAAAAAAGGGAGGTGAATGCAGTAACCTTAGTCACACGTTTCACATATCAAGGAACTGGGCACTTCACAAAGAATTATAGGAACAGGCCTACGTGTAGGATATGCCGTAAGGTAGGGCATGATACCAAGGACTGTAGAACAAGAAGCTCACAGGGAAACAGGCAGTAGGGCTGCCTAAGCAACCGAGGAGAGTCAAAATATTAGGTAGCATTCAGGAAAATCGGGGGGACACCCCTGATTCAACGGGATCTAAAGAACCGTATGAAATTGATTTATAATGTAGTTAGTCTACAATTAAAGGGGGGTTAAGCTCAGTTCTTATAGGTTCGGGGTGTTGGGTATAATTGGCGAAAGAATCATTGTTGATAAATATTAAATATCAGGAAAAGCAGGTAAATATACAAGGCATAACATGAGCTCAGGTAAAAATAAAAGGAAATGTTGACATAACACACAACACATTAGAACCTTTGAAACAAGAATGTTTTGTTGTGGAGCATTTAGCAAGAAATTTGGACTTCATTTTAAGAAAAGACTGACTAGAACATAATGGATATACCTTTCGAAAGAAGTTTTGAACTACTTGATGTTATACTTGATGAATTTTATTACTTCATTATCATAAACAATAGTTTTTATAGGCAGTATTATTGCGGTACACTGTGAAATAGCCTGCAGGTAATGCTTGTGGCAGGTGAAGTATTTCCTGTGTTTTGTGTAATAATTGTATTCCAAAATAGTTGCAGTACCGTTTCATAACTGTGAGCTACAGAATTCTTATTTACTTTTGTATGCTAAATCCATTGTTAAATGATAGTATTCAAAAGTATATGAGCGTCTTATATCTTGGAACTTTTTTTAAAATTCAATCATAGGTTATGTGAGAGGGTTAAATATAAGGAATTTGTAAAAGATTGTGCCTTAATCAGAATAGTGTGCTGTGTCAGGTGATGTAATTACATCTTAGAAATAATGAATATGTTTGCATTGTAGAAAACAGTTGAGGAATGTTCCAAAATACAATAACCTTCTCTGCTGAGGGCTACGTAAATGAACGAAGAACCTTAAATAAAGAGCGTCACACAGTGCACTGGAGGGTGCTGGATAAGCAGCGAGAGCCTAAAGGTCATTGTTTTACGCTACTCATAGTTTGAGACTGCAGGAGTCATCAAGGAAAATGGTTGTAATGACCACACAGGACTCACTGAAGGAGCTGTTGACATACCAGTGACCCTTAAGCTAGACCCAAAAGGTGAGTTGTTACCTGGTTTAAAAGTCACCTGGGACTCAATTTCATGAAGCCAGGGAACTATATTTGAGTGCCCCATTAAGCAGAATAGTCCTTTTCATTTGAAGCATGGAACTGCTAAAAGTTTAATTCAGTAGATCTAATATATATGGATAAATACCGTCTTAAGTGCAACAAATTTTATTGTAGTTTTNTGAAAAAGAAAGAATAGAGATCTTATAGACATTTTAACTTGAATTAAGTTTTAAAAAGTGCTAATTTAAAAATCAAATCGACGCGTGTAGATAAACAAAGATTTTATACAATTAGAAAGACTGGTAATTTTAAATTTTAACAAGCAGTGTAACAGCTACGTGAGTGATACACACCTGATGATGGCCGTTTAGGGCCGAAACATGTAGTGTGGAGGAGGAAAAGAAGTAAAAACTACAATAAAATTTGTTGCACTTAAGACGGTATTTATCCATATATATTGTGTGAGTGTAACAGGATGCTGAAATATAATACAGTAGATCTAAGCCTGTCATGGTGAGGGCAGATGTGCCCCACATCTTAAATTGTCTCTAGTGTAGCCTTGATCGTGATAACATGATATGGGTTGAACTGGCTTTGGACAAGGTAGACTGAAAGGCTTTTGTGGTGAAACTGGAAAACCTTTGAGTTCCATAACAGGAATTTCTTGAAAAGCTGGAAAGCTACCGTTTGCCCAGAGCAGTCCATGTCCAGTGAGATAACCCTTTCACTGCAAGTCACATAATTTAACTGGTTAGATAGGTACAGAGTAGAAATGGAGGTGATATATTAATCCAAAATGTTTGTACACACCTACCAGACTAAATGGTGTTACAGCTTAGTAGACTACAATATGAATCAGGTTCTTGCTTATGCTAATTTTGTTAATTAATTGAGGAAGAATGTAAATATGAAAAATACCACATACATTATTTCACAGGCCAGTTAAGAAATCAATCTAAAAGACATGAAATCAAAATCAGCAACCAACTACTAAAAATCATTTAAGAACAAGTCAAAATGTGTCTGTGAACAACACTGGCAAATAGATCTGAGGATTATTATGAAATCAGGAAGAGAATAATATTTCTAATTGTCTTTTCTAAACTATTATCAACCCAGCAACATTCCAAAATTATGATATACAAAATAGAAAGCCTGAATTTTGTGTGGAAGTGAAATTTTATGTCATAATACGAATAATGAACAAACAAGGAAACAAAATAAAATTCTCAAGAAAGTGTTTGGATATGAGGTATACAGTGTAAGTGAACACTTTACAATATTACTAAACGAGAATCTTCATTATTTTTTACTAGTGTCTTAGTATTATTAGGATACTGAAATCTATTTGGCTGTGATGCGAGGAAAACGAAGTATGCATGCTGGATTTTTATAAGAAATTATCCTCGAAACTGGCCACTTGGAAGACTGAGGAAAGTGTAGAAGGAGACTGGAACTTACTCAGGGTCATGTTCAGTGGCAGACTTTGGTGCTGCAGCAGTATTGAACATTTGGTTTCTGCTGTCACAGAGTTCATGTTACTAACAAGATGTACTTTTCTTGTGGGTGGACAAAATATTGAACTCATTTTGCTGAGGAAGTGTTTCAGTTAATAAACTGATTAATTAACTAGGCTCTTTAAACCTGCATGCAGGTATCAGTATGATAGTGTGCTGCTCCAGCATCCCTCGAGTGAATGGATAACTCCTAGAGGAACTCCTTGGTGTGCAAATTATAAAAGAAGTCGTCAGGAGTCCAATCTGGTTAGCATGGTGGCACATCTTCGGGTCCTAGTGTACGAGGTGGTATCGGAAAGGTCCCGGACTAGATCAAGAAGAAATTCTGGCTCAACTTATGCAATTTTGGCTGCCATCTCCTTCATAATAATCTCCTTGGGAATGTATGCAGTGATCCCATCATTTTTTCTGCACTTCTAAAGCACCGTGGGAGTCATTTTCCTTAATGCTGTCGAGTACCACTTGGAGTTCCCTTTGGATGTCAGACACTCTTTCAAAATGTCGTCCTTTCAGTTTCATTTTTAATTTGGGAAACAAAGCAAAATCACAGGGGACTAAGTATAGCAAATAGAGAAGATGGGGAACAATAATCATCTTGTTGATAGTCAAATTCTGTAGTTTTCAGGGAAATGTGGGCGGGTGCCTTGTCATGATGGTAGTGCCAGTTGTAGTTGCACCAAAGTTATGCTCTTTTTTGTCACACATATTCTGTCAAGCATCTCAGAATGTCACAGTAAAAGACAGAGTTGACCGTGGTGTTAGGAGAAACAAATTCAAGTTGAATAATCCCCTTTATTTGGAAAAAACAATAAGCATGCTCTTTGTTGAACTCCGAACCTGCTATGCCTTTTTTTTCGGTCCTGGTGGTTGTGGGCTCTTCCACTGCGATGTTTGTTTCTTTGTTCCTGGATCATAACCATAAATCCAACTCAGTCAGCCGTTATGATCCTACAGATAAAAGTTGGGTCTTCGTTAGCCTTCTTTTATAGCTCAAGTGACAAATTTAAGCTCTTCTGCTTTTGATCATTTGTCAAGAGTCAGTGAATTTTACATGTGCATACCTTGTAACAGAAATGCTCAGTAGCTGTCTCCTGACTGCGTCATTTTTGACTTGGAAAAATTTTGTGTTTACTTCATTTCATATGTTTATGTTGTAATTTAATTCTTTTAGTGAATACTGTTTAATAATCAAATTTTTTGTCTTAAGCAAAGACTATCAGCTTCATAAATGGCCAAAGTTAATTGAATAACATGCTTCTCAGCGAAAATAAAACCGGTGGTTCCCGAAGAATAGTAGAAGTTTAGAGTTACATGGTTTAGACATATGCAACCATGCTGTGGGAATGCAGTTGTGTCATAAGCATAAACCACATCTTGGCATACATGGTTAATGTAACCAATGGTTTGTAGTTCAGTTTGAGGCACTGCAAGTAGACAATGCCTTTGAGTCACATGAGCAAGATAAAATTTATATTGTTCTCTTGCAATATGAGAGGATTCCCCTCTTTCTGAGTGTGTCTTGTAACTGAATAATGCTTGGTTCAGATTCTGGAATTAAATTTCTATTTAGGATTAAACCTAACCTAAACCTAACTGGATTCTGTGTTGGAAATAACCATTAACAATTGCCAAGTAACTATGGGTTCCTGAATATGGCCTCAGAGAGCAAGAAATTGCAGATGGCCATTTTAGGGTTCCAAGTTTCACTAATGGAAGTAGTAGAACATGCAATTAAAACCAAAGAATAATGCCCAAATGTGGAAATACTACTATCCCTACTGCATTCACTTAATTATTTTTTTTAAACAGTCCTTTAAACTTACATTTCTCTGGGAGCTTTCCTTATATCCTATAACCTTATTCTACCTACTTTACTACATAACACACTTACTTTCCTTGAACTGTGTAACAGCAGCTAACCAGAAGGAAGTGTATTTTGTTGTTCTGCATAATACGATAAACTCCTAGTCTATTGAAAGACAGATGAAATGCTGACTTGCATTCCCCAGAATATTTCCATTTCATCCCATTTTCATTAGATTCAATTGCTTGCTCATATGACTTGTAACATATTTGTCACTTGCCTGGATCAATACAGTCAACATGAAGCCATCGTGCTATATTTTTACTCTGCTCTTTGCAGCTTTCTGTATTTTGCAAATGTAAGGAAACTTGGCAAATTTCTTCCCCATACCCCATGCCATATTCATTTTCATAATTGGTAAATATTTTTTTCCATAACCTACTAATGGTAGATATCTTCAGATTGCAGGCATATGATCCCTCGTATATGGCATGTAACAAAGGGAGATGTTTTAAGAGCACTGCCTTCATCAGCATGTTTCTCAAAGATGTCTCCTTTCCTTTGGAAGAGTCACTGCCTGATCCATAGGTTAAAACATAGTATTAACATAAGGTGACATATTTCACAAATAATTTACCATCATCTGAATTTGAGACATTTTCACTTTGCTGTGCTAGTACATTATATGACAAGCACAATAGACCATCGAAGGTAGCAGTGTTAAGGCCAGTTTTATGGCTCACCCCTCATACTCATACATTATATGACAACAGCCTTTTCTGGTAAACCATTCTCAGATGGGTGTGTGCTTGTGACACAAAATTATCAAACACTGTTATAAAATGGAATGATCCAACAGTACTTCCTTCTGATTAAAGTGTCAGGCAAGCATATTTATACTTTCAGGTCCTTTGAAGAAGGTCCCCCCCTCCCATGCAAAGCTTAATTTTACATGAGCTGGTGTCACTGGCACAACAGTAATTCTCTCATTACATGATATGTGCCAAGGTGCCCAATATTTAGATTGAAATTCTAATGTACTTATTTTGGCTTGTTTTGGACTTCATCCATCGTCTGGTATGTAAAAGACAAAAGACCACGACGTTTTGGAGACTGGATCTGTCTCCGTCTTCAGGTGGGTGGAGAAGGATAAGGTCCAGTGATTGAGACCTGCTCTTTCTAATGGGCCCAACTGAGTAGGTTTATCCTGCCCTACCCACCTGAAGACGGAGACAGATCCAGTCTCCGAAACGTCATGGTCTTTTGTCTTTTACATACCAGACGATGGATGAAGTCCAAAAGAAGTACAGTATGCACCATCGTCAGAATACTTTCAAGTCTATCTGAAATTCTGTCATTGTTGGAGGCACATCCACGACAGATCAGTTTCTCATCAGCATTTTATGCACTCAGAAGTGATTTTACTTTTTAATGAAGTCTTCAAATGACACCAAAATTTACTTGCAATTGAATCATCATTTAATTTGTCTCCTTAATGTTGTCATCTCCCGTGTGCCAAGCCAGTCTTGAATTCTGTTATGCATCCTAAAGGAAACTTACGAATGTCATGTCATTGCTTGACTCATGTTAACCAGCCCAAGAAAAGCACAGAAATCTCCTTCAATTTCTGCTACATCAGAGTGCATTTAGTGTAGATCATTATAGAAACAGGATTTCCTTGTGCTCTTAGCTGTTAAAAAATTCTACTGTAACAAGTTCTGTTTAATTCAGAGGTTATATAGCTTTTTGCTTTGATAAGCTTCTAGGTGAATGAGAACTATCAGCTTAATTTACTAATTTATCTTCATTTTTCTGAATGTTTTGGACAGGTGTCTCCCCTATACCATGTATTACTGTTGTATATTTGATGGAGTTTCTTTCTTAAGGTTCCTCCATTACATATGTATTTTTACAATAGACATTGCTCTTGACCATTGCTTCTTATAGAGTAAGTAAAATTAAGACTAAATTCCATCAAATGCAATAATGTGTTTAAAAATGAAGCCTTTAAATATTTCAGTCAATAATGATCATCATCGGAAAGTGCCCAGCATTTCACAGGAAATTCTTCGCATATATTATCCTGTGAGAGTTGAAACACTAATACTTAAAATATATTTTTTAAAAGTAACAGAATTTTTGATTGAGTAGAATCTCACTATGAAACCCATGTTGCTCATGTTCTTTCACAATAGGTCATCTGTATTGTGTTGTGTGCAATGTGTTTTGGTGAATTATTTCATCAATCTATGCAATATGCCTTGTTTACTGTCAGTTCACTTCAGGAAGAAAAGGAGAGTGCAGTGGTGGTATCTCTCCCAAGGTAAAGCCCATAAATATGGTGAAACCCTCAATTTGGACAACTGTTTTTTTTTTTTGCACATTATGACCTTGATGATCACATTGCCACAATTAATGATTGCAAACTGCTGCAAGTAGCACTAACATAGATGTCAGGAGGTATGTATGTATGTATGTAGCCCTCACGTCAAACAACAAGGCCATTTGAAATGGGATCTGACATCAAAGCATTCCAGATCTATAAAATCAGCTGGGAGAGTAGGTACACAAAGAGCTAACCTAAAACTTTCTACATTTGTATGAACAGTGCATGTTAGTGTTTCAGTAGGTTTTTTGTTTACATTTAAGTGTTGTAATAGTGCAATGTGTATCCCTTAGAATGAGTACTAGAGGAAAATATGACTTTAACCCCTCAAGAAAAAATGGAAGTTTTAAACAAACTTTATAATGAACTGAACATGCTTTTTATAGTATTAATGAATATTATAAATCAACTTCTCAATGAACACTTTGTCTTTATTGTCTCTCCTACAGATAATATAATTACATAGCTTATGTATCTACTATAACTGTATCAGTGTTTGTATTATTGTATATGACTGCAGTAATTTATAGTGATCTTAGTGTTTTCATTTGTTCTTGTATGGGTTAGGAATGTATATTTTATTATCTTATGTTCAGACATGGTTATGTATGTATATTTCATTGTTTTATGCTTAAACATGACAGATTCTATATCCAGTAGGTTGGTTTGAGCTTATATGGATTGACAGAATGCAATAAATAAATTAAATAATAAAGTAAATTGATTGCAGACTAAAACCATGGAGTTTTATCTTAGTTACTTAGTTATAAAGTAAAATAATGATGCTTCCATTCAGAGGGTAGTGGATAAATATGGTGTAATTAGGTCCACCTGATATGATATTAAAGAAAATCGTAAATGAACATTGTAATTTGTGCTGAAACAGGATAATCCATGTAGTGATCAAGCTGAAAAGTGGAAAAGGACAGTTGGACCAAAGCAGAACAAAATTGATTTGTGACTGGCTTAATAAGGATGAGGAGGACTTTGAATACCGAAATCCCGCTGAAGAGGATCAGGAAGATGAGAAGATAGAAGAAACATGATCAAACCTGAAATTTTCAGGAGTGAAACAAAACTTCGACTCTATAATCAGTTGTGTGGACTGTAACCCACAGTACAACAGGTACTACCTAATGCTGAGGGAACTGAAGCAAGTTGTAAAAGAACAGTACAAAAGAAGAAAAAAGTAAAGCTATCCCTGTACCACGCCGTGAAGGTCCATATGTTTGTGAGATGTTGAGGGTCCCACATTATCTAGACAGTCGGCTCAAAGATGGCGGTAAGGTTGTGAGCCTTACGCGCCGACCGTGCTTTACTCCCCAGGAATTTTATTTCATTAATTCCTGGTACTCATTTCTGTTAGAGGCTGAGTGAACCCCAGGGCCTAGTGCGGCTGGAAGGATTAGGTCAACTGAAAAAATCCAATGACCTCATCAGGACTTGAACCCATGACCTTCCGGCTTGTAGCATAGCCCCTCGTTGCAATAATACTAAGTATGGAGGTTACCTAAAATGTTTTTAAAACTGATATCAAAATGTCCCTTTTTACATGGTAAATTTATTTTATGATATACAGTCTTAAGTTCGAAATAAAGTTGTATTGCCTAAAAAGACATGTGAAGTCCAATTTATAACTTCCCTGGCAAAAATTTTTAGTAGCAGTTCTATCATTTGGGCTTCCACTAATTTGGATAAGATTTTGCTCCCTATTAGTCCAAATTAGTGAGGTCTTCTGTATATTGTGCATTATGGGAATCAGATATACTAGCAAGTGAGCATTCAGAAAAGTTTTTGGGTGCAGTGTTAAGCATCTTCTAGGGTGGCCAAGGGCTCTCTTCATAGCATATTCTGGAAATGAAGCCTCCAAACAAACAGTTCTTATTCTCTCATAAGAAAAGCATGCTCCATGTTATGTGGAACTGAGTGTAAAGAAATAACGTCCTTAGAACTTTCTAGTGACAAGCAACATAACCTTGCTTTAGGGTTTCCTTTAATCTAACATTACTTACTTATGGAGCTGAGCCCTTCTGAGGAGCTGCCAAATCTGCAGCTACTCAAGAATTTCCCAGAATTTTATGGAACCCAAAGGTTCATTACCATGTTCACAAGAGCCTTCCACTGGTCCCTGTCCTGACCAACATCAATCCAATCCATACCATCCCATCTCTCTAAGATCCATTTTGATATTGTCCACTCACCTACGCCTTCTTTCCGGTGGTCTCTTTCTGGCTTTCCCTACAATATCCTATATGGATTCCTCTTCTCCATTCGTGCTACATCCCCTGCCCACCTCATTTTCCATGACATGGATCATTCTAATTATACTAGGAGAAGAGTACAGTAATTTCATGTCAGCAGTCTGGGTTGCATTACCTTCATTTAACATTTTTCATGGTTTAGTGTTCAAATTCAATGCTCGCAGAAGAAACCTTTAATAGAGGTGTGGGATTCCTAGGAGAACCAGGGGAAGTGCCTCAGCCCACTGTTAGTCCACGTGGCACATGATGGCTGCCTTCAATGTCCGGTGGAAGTGTTCCACAAGTCCGTTAGCTGCTGAGTGGTGGGCGGTTGTACGTGAGAGCTGGATGCCGCACAGCCCCTGGATACTGCTGCTTGCGAGCTGTCTGCGGCGTCCAGCTGAGTCGGGGTCACCAATGTGATATTCTCTTAGGAGTGAGTGTTGTCTGAAAGACCGGCAGAACTGCGTGCTATGTGGGATGTTGCCACAGAAGTTTTACTGTATTAAGGAAGTAAGGAAGGGGTTGGATAATATCTTATTTTAGTCCAAACAATGTTGAAGTGTTTTATACCAATTAAATGGTGTAATTATTTTGTGTTTGTAATGAAATAAATGATCACACACTTGTTTTCTATTCTCTGCTTTAATCTCCACATTACAGTACCTGCACAAACAGTAAGGTGCTAACTGCCTGGATTCCATTGTGTTTGTTTTAAAATCAGTTATGCAATTCCTAATATCTTCATTTTCTATATTATTAATAAATTCTTTTATCAGAGTTTTGCTGTTGCGAAGATTTGAATATGCAAGAAGTGTAATATATATGAACAATTGAAGTGTGCTAGTGTTATCATGTGTGGCATTGTGTGTTTTAGCATCATATTATTTATTTTGATCATAACCTCTAACACTGGGACTACAAAGCCTTTTAATGGTCTTGCATTAAGTGAATGTCAGATTAATAAAATCAGTGACCACTAAGTCACATTGAGTTCACACCATTTGGTAGTACATCTATAAAGAGCAATCTACATGTTTTTAATCTGGATTAATTGGAGATTTGCCAAATGAAGTGGGTTAGTTTTGTACTTCATAGCCTGATTTTAGTCACTTGTTTGACCCATAAAATTTAGTTAGTGTGAAAATATCTGGAGCATCTCTAGACATCAAGTTAGAAATGTTAATATAATTGTAGGCAATTTTATTGCTTACCCACATACTACTAATGTTCTCTGTAGGGAACAAAGTCCTTGAAAAGACAATAGCCACTCAGCTACACAAAGAATTTATTGTTTCTGTAGACAGTGTTTTCAAGAATCTGCCTCTGGACCTTACGTAAAAAGGTAAAATTAACCCTGTGCTTAATTAAGCGCCATGCCATGAAGATGGGCAGGTGAGTGCGATTATAGCTTCACTATTCCTGATCTCTTCACTACATTTAGGTGAGTGGTCAGCTTCAGTCCCCAGCTTAATTACATGAGTCTCAGTGTTATGTTATAATTGACGCCCAATGAGCCAGTCTGTCTTGAATAAAGCACGCATCTGGGACTTGGACCAGATTTTAATTACTCTCGGTACAGTTGTGGGTTTATTGATGTGGGGTGCTCTCTCTGACAAGGGGACGGGTCTGTCATTTACAATTGCTGCTGGCCCTCGCCAGTCTCTGGTGACTTGTGACCATATTGTCATGTGGGGTTCCGTGACTAATAATTGTGGGTCCTAGATTTGATGATTAGGTTTATTTGACGTCTGTATCACAATTAACATATTTTCTGTGTTCCCTCATATTCTGGTTCTTCTTTCGAATTCACTTATGTCAAAGTCAAAGTCACATTGCAACTGATGGTCAGTCAGTCTGTCAGTCATTCTCGGTGTTGAGCCCCATGTGGGCTCATGACCAGATATTTATTACTGTTTGACAGTTTCAGTCTTGTTTTTGTGAGGCGCCCTCTCTAATGAGAGCACGGGTCTGTCTTTTGTCACGGCCATTGTCTACAGTAGTAAGTCGTTTGTCATAATGTAAAGGATATTTACATTTTATAAGTTAAACATGTTAATAGATGTATATAAAAATATACAGGGCCTCTGTCATTACAGCAGATTATTGCCTATTTCTAGTAGCTTCCGCTACAACGACAGTCTGGTCACTTGAACGGTAATTCACTTCTGAACTAACAGCTTCCTTTTTCTCCTTTCGAGGCAGCTGGGATAGGAACTACCTTCTTGAAGAATTCCGTTTTTCATACCTGTGGTAACAGTCTGCCTAAGCACGTGTTACCATGGAAACACCTCTGGTCCCAAAGTAACCAATATGCCTAGTCGAGTGTTTTGTTGGGAGTGCATGTATAATAATCCCATGCTAACCCATTGTCACGGTAACATGTTCTGTTAATATCCGTTGCCTAGGAAATGAACTTTGAACTTACTCCACTACTCTGGCTTTCAGGGGTCATGTCACAATATTTTACTGCCTCAGATTTGAGACTTCAGGGTTATGGTGGAGGCATTCTACACTGCCTCCACATGGGATTGCTGAACTACCCCTTTACCCCTGGGGAAATAGCCCCTGATTCCCATAGGATAGGATGTTGGGTGGGACCCAGAGCTGGTCTGGACACTGGAGTAGAGAAAAATCTCATACACCTTTGGGTATTCGTATCCTGGCTGTCCAATCTGTCGCCCATTGCCCTTCTGACCTCACCCAGGTCTGGCTTGGGAGTGATCCTAGGAAAGTTAGACACTATGTATGGTCTGTAGATGGGTTAAAAGAAGTCTCTGTATTTTATTTCCATTTGTGCATAGGTCTCATGAAGTCTCTTCTGTTAAATTTTATATGCTTTTATCAATTTGTGATGTCTGTGCTTTCCTTATTTCTCCCTTAGGCCCAAATAATTTGATTTCTTAGCATAACTGAAAATACTAGAATGAATTCACGAGTCCTTTTCCCTGCCTGTTGTGCTAAAGCATACAAACACCTCTTAATGCATGGTAATGCCATATCTGAATGAACGCTGAAGTCCAGTGCTACTGTGAAGTGGGTGTTTTCTTGGCAAATTCATATTTATTATATGTTAATGTATGGATTCTTAGAAATCAAAATAATCCAAATATCTTACATTCCTCCCATAATAATCCAAATATAGTAGAATGTACAGCGTCAGATGTCTATGTTATTTAGAGTCCAAGTCTCAAGTTATGAACTTAGAAAGTGTAAGAAAGTAACATAGCAGTCATTCTCTGTAGGATTGAATGTAGTCAGTACACGTGGTAGACATACAATTGTGTCACAGAATATATTTGACGTCAGTATACTCCTGTCATTTTATGGAGGCTACTGTATTTTAACTGTGCTGGGAACAGTTCGGTTAAGTCAACTTCCGGTACCTCTACTGTTAGTATGTGCTGGCAGTTTGGTGAGGTGCATATCAGGGAGTGAATATGATGAGCTTAGCATGATAACATAATTTGTTATATACCACACATATTAAGTACTGATAGAACAGCACTGTAGTGGCCAATCAGAAGTATTGTGTATATATAGTATCGTATCAGTAAATCTCATATTGTATTAATGGTTAATATTCCCAGAAAATATGTGGTTATACTGGCACTGCTACTATCTGAAGTCGTTCTGTCTTTAACCTCCTACTATTTATGTTCTTTCACTCCTGCATGCCGGAGGCTACCATTGAATAAAAATTCTTTCTTTTGAGGTGATATATATATTTTTTTTTTATTTAATTTGATTGCTAATTTACAGTCTGCTCTAGTGACAACAGAGTAATACGTAAATGTTCGGGTGTCGCAGTAGCTTGTTGTGGCTACCATCCACTGATGGGTCTTTATGCGTCGTCTAGGTTAGGTCTTGTGGCCAATGACGTTGGAGTCTTCTGTTCTCCAGGGGTTGAGCGGCGAGTTCATTTAGTAGATAGTTGTCGTGGTCTACGATGTGATCTCTATATTTGATGGCTTTTTTGTTGATGACTTCCTTTATGAAGGGCATTCCGAGATCTGCATGAAGGGGTTGATTGGATATGAACCATGGAGCGTTTGTTATTGAGTGTAACATTTTTGACTGGAACGTTTGTAATACTTTCCTATGAGGTCTGTCCTGGGCTTAAGACTATGATATTAGAGGCAGATGATGGAATTGTACATCAAAATAATTTGTGTGGTGAGTGATATATTGTGATAATCCATTTAACTAGTTTTGAGAGACAAATTGTATTGGATAATGTTTTGGAGTAATTAATTAAAAAAACAGCTTTTTGTTTCCAATTAACACTGAACATTTTATACTGCTGTGACATTTTCAAATACATGTGTATAACTCACAGAGCTGAGCCCTTCTTGAGAAGCCGCCAATTCTGCAGCTACTCAAGAATTTCCCAGCATTTTATGGAACCTGAAGGTTCATTACCGTGTTCACAAGAGCCCTCCACTGGTCCCTATCCTGAGCCAGCTAGTACCGTATTTATACATTTCATGTTTCCTTAACAACGCGTTTAATAACTCGAATGATTTAGAAGTCAAAGGAAATAATAATGAATTGTAGGGGATATGGAAGGAAATGGTTGCAGTCTGATTGAACATAATGTTCCGGGTTAGGGCACTGAGTAAACTCAAGAAGAACCTGTCAGGGTAGCAAAACCGCTACGTTCTGTACACTAGCAGTTGAAGACTGTAACGTATTTCATTAAAGTTGATATTCAAGTTAAGTATTTCCTTTGTACTGGTTTATACATGCATCAAAATTTACAATTCGTTAATAATCTAGTGAAATAAAATTAATTTCTTTCTTACACTATGGGGTTCTGTGCGTGTTTCTGGATGTTGGCGCAATTTAGTTAAGCACGTTCTCACAGTTCAGAGAAGGGGTCATTATGGTGCACACTAGCACGCAATCTTACAGAAACGTTCACTGACAAAAGAATTATTCCAAGATGGTAGGTGGTATATACGCAGGACCGGATTAAGACATGCTGAGACCCAAGTTCTCTCATGATTCAGGGGCCCCCATACCATAAAATGTAAAATTACATTATAATAGAATGAGAAATGAGAAACGGCTCGTTGTTTCCTTTAAACCTGTCCACGTGACGCCAAGATGCACAAAACAGTAATAACACGTTCAAGTACATACCCCTGTGCCCCTGCTTCTTTTTCTTTCGATGAAAGAGCCTTTTTCAATAACTTTCATTCGTATGTTCCGCATCCTCTTGTGCATGTCTCTACTATGTAAATTTATCGGTCGGTCATAACAGTACTATACCTCAATGAAACAGCTAGTCTACAATGTTGATAAAATCGGTTAGTTTCTTATGTGCTACCTGTTTCGGTACTTCTAACGACTATCATTAGACGTTTACAAACAGTAAAATGCTTCTAACATTCATTACTGGACTCATTGCTGTTTGTCTAGTCACGTACCAGATTTTACGTAGATTTACAATATTCATGTATATTGAAATATTTATTTAAATTGATCATAGTATATTTTAAAATTATTATTGTCGTCTAAAAGATATCTTATTCTATACAAGGTTCTTTTATGTGTGGGAGGGGTGTACTGCACATGATGTGTATATGAAACTTTGTCCTTTATGGGGACTTGGATATTATATGATTGTGTTGTTTTAGGTGAAAATGGGATGTTTCCAACTTTT